GAGATCAACCACAACAGGTTAGATTCTTTCTTCGATTTTGAATACACTCGAAAATTATGAAATTTTTTTTTTCTTGAAAAAAAAAAACCGATTTCTCGATGATATTTTATCTCTAACAGGAAGTTGATAGAAATAAATCATCTGTTGATTTCTTTCTAGTTAACAACATTAAATCTTTTGCAATCGGATAAGTCATTATTGAATTCTTTCAAATTTGATTCACAGTTATGATGAGTCGAAACTTCTTTCTATTGCTCAACTTTTAATGAACGAAAATAATATTTTACAAATCATTGAGATGAGAAATCCGACACTGACGGCAGAATTTTTCAAAGAAACGTACGAAACAGCAGGCGTATATCTTCGTGCCAATGGTAATCTTGCAATTTTACCGTCAGATACTCGATCTGGATTTCTTCGTAGTGCAGCTGAGTGTCGTTTGTTTAAGTACAATCTTTGTTTACAATCAATCTCAACTCTACATTCATCAACCTTTCTTGAACGCTTGTAGGCATCTCTATGACAAACAATCAGTGGCTATGGCTCATCATGTTATGAAACATATCAATCCCGATGTTGCACTTATGAAGCTGGCTCTTTCATTATTCGCTTTTTCCGATAGCGTTTTAATATTTTCACCATATGTTACAATAAAATCGAACAATTCTAGTTTAATCTTTCACATTCAAAATACTTATGCCGAAGTGACATGGAAATATCTTGTCTACAAATATGGTTATTATCAAGCGATTATCCGATTTAATAATTTAATTCAATGTCTTCTAGCTGCTATTGATACAGTGTCTAGATCACAAAATGTTCAAATCCATACTAATGATATGGAATCACTTCTTGAACAAACTGAAATTTCACTCGTCTTGGTAGATATTGATTGAAAGTATAGATTCAAACAGTAGTTAACCGTTTTACGCTTTAGTAACAAAATTGTTTATTAATTTTGTTTCAAACATCTTAACTGAAACATTGGGCATATAGAGAACTCAAATAGACTAGCTTTCATAAAAAATTCATAAGTTTTCCATAAAGTCTCTTTGAGATATGAGACATTCAAGATATAGATCTTTTTCTATATATAGTGTATGTAACGTGTATTTTTTGAAAGCTTCATACATTGAAGAGCTTTTGTTCAAAGCTCCTGAATTTTATTAAGGAAGTTAGTCTAGCTGAGTTCTCTATATGCACAAAGTTTCAGTTCAAAATTCGAAAATAAAAATTTTCCTAAAATCTTGGCTCTCTAAAAAGTAGACATATTAAAAATTTAATCGCTTAGTCAAACCTCAATAGAAATCCAAATCGTTTTAGAGTCTTTATTAGAACATTATATAGCATCTATAGACAAAAAGAAATCATTGAAATCGGAAGGAGGCAGCAGAAGATGTTCCCTCTTCAATTGATGTTGAATCATTTCTAATGAGCACATCTGATGTGCATAATGTTGTTTGTAAATTTTGCAGAAATTAAATTGGGGTATGGATGAAAACGAGAAGGAGACCGACACCCATACCCTCGATTACTTTGAAAAATTTTTTAAATCTTGATTTGATGAATTAATTCATAAATAAATTCATTTGAATATATTTTAAATGTGCAAATAATTGTATCTGCTTCAATAATACAATGATATTTGTAATGTAAATAAAATAAAATATTATTACCATTAATAAGTGTTATGAATTAATTTCATTTTCAAATGCTTTTTTTGTTAATACAAAAATTCATAATTATTGATCGAAGATATTTTTTTTAAACAAATTATTCTTGTTTGTTCATTAATAAAAAAATTAATCTGATGAATTTATTAAATAAAATATTCTATTTTCTTGTACAATAGAATCTTCACTTGTTATATTCACTTGAAATCTAATATTATCAAGTCCAATTGATTCGCTTATATTTATCGAATAATAATTTTTATCAAATTTCATTCCATGATCATCTATATCAATAATATGTCGAGTTAATTCATTTGTTAAATAACTTTTTTTATTATTATTATCATCAATTGCAGTATAATCTCATATTGTAATTCTAATTGATGAAATTTTCTATCGAGTTTATAATGTAATATAATTGAAACAGTAATTTGATCAATATCAATAGAACGTATACGATGAGTACCAAATGGAAGAAGACTATTTGCAGTTATATTGAAAATAAATGAATTTAAATAGGGATGTCGTATTAGTATTAATTAATGTCAATTCTAATGCTTAACGATTAGCATTATTTTTAATATTTATGCGCATCCGACATCTGTCATGGTCCCCCTTGGAATCATCATTTTTTTCTGTAGGGAATGTGTATTTATTTGACATTGTTTTAAAGATGAAAGTGATTTAAACTGTCATCGAAATAAGACAAATCTTAATTTTGCTTTATGCTTCCATCAAAATGTGAACATCGAACAGCCATAAACACTGATACTCAAGATGCTGTTCTACTAATGAAGTAACCAGCTAAAACGAGAAAGGTATCAGATCGAGAATAATTTCACGTCAATAATTAATGCAATAACATTGCAGAAGCAACCATTGTCGCTAACGCAATATTTCGTCAATTGTTATCTCCTTCAACCCAGAAAACAGCTTTTTGAAATAAAAAGAAATATTATTTTTATTTGAAAAAACAAAGAAAATGAATTCAAAAGCGTTTTTCAAGCTTAATATAGAGAGCTTCTGGCTGATGAACGAAATGTAGATCAAGAATTTTGAATTTTTGTTCCATTTCATCAGCAGGCAAGATAATGTATTGAGTAAGAAGATGAACCAAACACGATTTGATTTCCATTAGTGCAAATCGCATTCCAACACAATTGCGTGGACCTTGACCAAATGGCATGTATGCAACTGGATGTCGTCGAGTCAAATGTCGTTCAGGTATAAACAAATTTGGATCATCAGGACCCCATAAATTTGGATCATAATGCAACGAAAATATGTCCGGTTGAATGACACTTCCTAAGTTGTATTTTCGGATTTAAATAAAAAATATTTTTTCAAAGAATTGAACTGACCTTTTTCTATTACGTAACTACAAACAGTCGTTGTTGTATTACATTCTCTTGTTGTAGCTTTAGGTGCAATAGGAAACATTCGTAAAACTTCTCGTATAAACGAATCTAGATAGACCATATTATGAACTCGATCATAGTCACTTTCATTTTTATCTGGATATTCCTCAATTTCTTTACGAAGTTTTTCTTGAACAGTAGGGTGTGTTGCCAAAATATACGTACAATAGGTGAGTGCCGTTGATGTTGTTTCATAACCAGCAATCATAAACAAAAATGCATTATTGACGACTTCTTCGTACTGAAGCTTTTTCGGTATGACATCACTATTATTATCATCCTATACTGTATGTACGTTGAAAAATTGATTAAAATTTAAGCAATAGACACACTAACCTTGATTTCATTTGAAGTAGCAACATCGAGCATTAGTTGAAGGAGATCAATGCGACGTTCCGTTTCATCTAACGATGCTCTTGCATTGACTACATGACGTAAACGATCAACAAACCAAAAGCGCGGCAATTCTTCAGCAGTTTTCTTCCATTTATGTAGAATACGCATGAAGATAGCTTGACCAATAACGATTTGAGAGAGAATGGGGATAAGCCATGGCATCAGATAACTCAATCGAATCAAAGGATGTTTTTCGAAATTTTCTTTCGTAAGAAGCTCAGCTTTATGCATGTATTCGTTGTCTTTATCCGTTTGCATATTTGTATTGATTCCGAATGCGCATCGACCTCAAATAAAAGTAGATGAAAAAAATTAAAATTTTTGAAGTTCTTGACAATCTCAAAACTATTTTGAGGAGGACTAAATGTGAGTTTTAAAATTTCGAGTCTATCTCGGAATAGTGTTGCATTTGGTTTTTTCTTTTACTTACAAATTACGTCCATAGTCAATCGTTTGTAAATTAGATAAACATTAAATTCTTTTTGTTCTTCACATTTTTCTGACAATTTGTTCATAAATGCTTCGATAGATTCATTAACTAAAGGTGTCATAAGTTTGAGTTTTGCAGCCGAAAATGTTGGATTAATAACGAGTCGTTGACGATGCCATTGATGGCTATTGGCATTAAACAAATGCATTTTGTTTCGAGCTTGTAATCGAATAACAAAAGGAATATGTCGTGAATGAAATGATGAAAATTGTTTTATAAAGATTTCCTGGAGAAATTCAGGATCGGACACAACATAAACGGGACGAGCACCTTCGAAAAGACCATAGATGGAACCGAATTGATGCGTCCATGTCTGCAATTGACGAGTAACAGATTCAACAGACCACAGAATTCGAGAGTGACCAAAGAAAAAGCTGGGTAATGGACCAGAAATACCACGACGTTTGAAATAATCATAGCTCGATTTTAAAGTCCACAAATATGCAGTGAGTATTACTATGATTGATAGTAGAAGGATTGCAGTTAACAGCATTCTGTAGCAAATAAAATGATCGTAAGTGTAACGATTAAAATATATCTATTTTTCTTTTCTCTCAGGTAAGTAAATCATTAAAAATATTTCTGCGTCAGAATTATTTACAAAACAAAAATAACTTTTCTCTTTCTTTCTCTCTCTTTCAACGTATGTAGTGATACATTTGTGATATAAATATCCTTAGTAAAACATGCATTGATTACAACCTGAATAGAAGATGTCTATCAAAACACACGTGTATAGGCAAAATATTTGCATCATAAGAACGTTGACGATATAGATAAGTAAAGGAGAGGATTCGACACTCGATTCATCGGTGATAAAAATGCTACTTTGCAGCGGAAAAATGACACTCACATCAACAATGGTCTACCACTAAACACTCCGCACTACAAAAATTATGTGTAGTATTAATTTTATACGTATCTCTTCACTCATAGCTTCTAATTTCAGGAAAAGTGAAAATCAATAAGAAAAATGCATAATACTATAAGAAAAAATGTATAAGGAAAAATGGAATAATTTCATAAGCATTAGAAAAATGATGTTGAGTATTACTTTTCGAGGGTTGGCCAACAATTCGATTGGTGTGAAAAATGTTAATTTTCACCGGAATTTTGACGTCCAAATCAAAAATGCTTCTCTGAATAAAGTCACAACACCAAAAATTTATCGAACAGTTAAAACTGCAATTCATATAATACTAAAAAAAAAGCTATAGGGAAAATGACATCGGCTAATGGAAATTGATTTCACCTATAGAAAAACTTTCAAGATAACTGTTTCTTCATAAAGACACTTATTCATCCGAAAAAATGAACATTGCTCTCGAAAAAACGATATCGAAAAATGAAAAGATAATTCCTCTATAGGAAAAATTCTTCGATACTGTACTGTGTCTCTATATATAGATATAGATACAGTTATCCAGCAGAAAAATGAATAGAATAATGAGATACGAATGAAATGTGTATACATATGCGTTTAGATATATGACGGACGTTCTATATGAACAGAACGGAAAGAAGATTCATTTTTGATCCGAATAGCATTTTTCGGTAATGGTTTAGCTGGTGTTCCACTGGTAACATTAAAGCTGGTGTTCCCCCGCATCAAAAGTGTTCCACTATGTAACTTTAAAGTTACATAGTGGAACTCTTTTGATGAGGGGGAACATCAGCTAAACCATTACCTTAGTCAACTCAAGGACATGAATGACAACATGATTCAACTTAATCATAGTATCAACGACAATATGGTTCAACTTAATCGTAGTATGAACGACAACATGGTTCAACTTAATCAGAGTATGAACAAGTTAAATGATGGTATGGAAAAATTGAATCTCTCTATGGAACAATTGAATAAGGGTATGATACAATTGTGTACTAGAACAAATGAACATACTCAACATATATCCAATTTGAAACATATATTAGTATCTGCTCTCATAAGTTAAAATATAATTTAGTCAAAAGACTTATCTTTTTAATTTTAGGTCCTGGCTATCATCTCCATCTACTTAAAGAAATAGTTTTTTCTTTGGTTATCTTTTTTTTTGAAAAAACTAAATAAAAGAAGTAACGTAAAAAATGCTATGTTCATTGAAATATAATTTTATTGTCTAGGTGCCTATATGAATAAAATGTTTATTGATCATATGAACTAAAAATAAAAGACATAATTTGTTTCTTGATAAAATATTTGGAACGATTTGCATTTTCAATTGAAACTGAAACGACTAAACACTCTTCGTTCATATGTGAGTGAAGATGAAAATGAGATATATAAAAGTTTAAACAGATCATAATAAAGCAAAAAGACATCAATTAAAGGAACTTACGATCGACGCCACCCTCATTCAATTGGTCATATTAATAACAAAAAGGTACATGCATTTAAGTTTGTAATGGACGGACAAAGGACCATCTGCTATTGTTAGATATCTACACGATGTGTGCATATGTATCGATAAAGAAAATCAAGTTTTCAAATAGGCACATACATAGAGGCATAGTTTTCGTTTGGTTTTGCTGAGAGCGGGTAAAAGTTAAGGGAGAAAGTCTCCCAAATCTAAAGAGAAACAATTTTCGCTTAACTTTTTTATAGTAACATATATTCTTAGACGGAACCCAAAATGATCTCGTCTTCAATAGACACAGTACTTTTCTTTATTCTTGTTAGTTCTTCAGTAAAAAAGTTCAAGTAAATGAAAATAAGTATTTTCGTCTACAAGAAAAGTTTTCACTTCAATAGTGTCAAAGCTATTTTTCTTCTAAAACTGAATCGATTTGAAAGAGAAACTATTTACGCCCTACAGAAAATATAATTCTGACATAAAGAGAAAGTATAGCTATTTCGGAGAAAACAGTTCTAATACAAAGAGAAAACATTTCGAATATGAAGATAAAAATTCAGATATAAAGAGAAAATAGTTTTGACCCAAAGAGAATGTAATTCTGATTCAAAGAGAAAGTGTATCTATTTGAGAGAAAACAGTTCAAATGTTAAGAGAATATAGTCCAGATCCAAAAAGAAAGTAATGTAGACTCAAAAAAAATTTATTCTGATACGAAAGAAAAGGATCATTAGTAGAAATTGGTTCAAATGTTAAAAGAATAGTTCACATTTGATCACTAAATTATTCGGTAGGAAAAGTAAAACAGTTGGTGCCTTTTTGAACATTCATTCGAGTGTTAAGCAATAGAATTTCGCTGAATGCTCGTCAAGAATATTTCCAGAGAGAAAGCAATAACAATAACAAAGAGTCAGTGGGGAGAAGTTCCCCGGCTTCTCCCCTCTAATCGAACGCTGTGCATGTATATCGTATGTTTCCTGTGCTTGTTCAACAAAAAAAAAAAGATAATCATAATAAATAAGTAGCTATGAATATTTATTAAATAATGCTTGAAATTAAATAGCTACCGGCTTAAAGATTTGAACAAAAAAATAAGCATGTTAATTAAAAGTAAGCATATGATTATAAAATTTTCTTATACATCTCTATTCGCTGTATTTATCAATTTTCTCTATACAAAAATTGTATATCTTATAAACATGAACCCGGGTAAATCATCGTATGTCACAGGAAAATTTTAGAAATTGATGGAACTTGGACGAATTGTATTCAGGCCCAAAATAACTACGTTTAAGTTCCATCAATTTCTGAAGTTTTCTCATCGGTACCGGCCCGTACACTTTCATTCTGTGTTATAAAACTCGATTCCAAACAATCTTTTTTGTTTGTTTATTTAAGTTATTCGATGTAATACAGAATCAATTATCTTTATCACTTAATCATAAACTACAAAATAATCTTATTTTATCAAGGAACAGTTCTCTTGATGAATGAAGATATCAATCTTCTATCATAATTCTTCAATTATTATACACATATTTCTAATATGAATCAGAATTACAGAAAATGTCCATCAAGTATATTTACAGTACACTTAAATAATAGTAATTCAATAGTCAAATTCAGTAGTTCATTTGCTTATTATTCAAATAATGAAACATTTTCATCGGTATATAAATATATTATTCTCACATAAAAGAAAAGACGGAATTACCAATTGGATATACGCAATAGAGATTTAATATAAAACGACACCGAGCGGATTTCCTGGAGATTGAGTCTTCTACTAATTGAATTTCTAAAAGCTACATGGATATCTTTTATGTCTAAGATTATGATGATATATGGATTGTTTATGTATGTAAAGGTCTCATATTTGTCTTATATACAATCTTACAATAGCAGCTAATTTGATCTATATAGATGGAAATGAAAACTATTTGCCCTTTTATATTCAGAAGATATTAAAATAAACAAAGAAAAAAAAAATGATTAGTTTCACATGCATATAGTAGATGTCTAAATAAATACATATTCAAAACTTGACCATTACAATAGACGGTCGTTCTTTCGAAAAAAAAAACACCATACAGCTATTAGCAATTATTAGAAAACATAGAGTTGCTATTTTTATTCCACATTAGTTGAAAATACTTAGCCGGAAGCTAAGTTTAAAAAACAATGAAAATATTTATTATTGCAGATTTTCTCAGATTGCGATTAGCATATCGCAAAACAGATGTCAAAGAGAGAAAAAAAAACAA